TCAACTGACGTCTAACATTAATCTGAAAATGGAATTAAATGAACCTTATATATAACCTTTAAAAAACAATCAAATTAATAATGGCAATAAAAACGATTAGCGACTGTCTATTACTTGTATGGGTGCAATGAAATTTTAATTATTTTTTTTTTATCTTCATTTTCTATCTAACACTAGATCTTTTATGTCATGCAATTTCTTAATGACCATATAATACATATATTTTTAATTTTAGGGAGTTGTCGTCAAAGCGTTAATATTAAGGTTTTTTTTTCTGTCATAGGTGCGTTATTGCTTTTTTTCTTTTTTTATTATATGCACATGCATTCATGATGAATTTGTCAGCTATAATTCATGATGAATTTGTCAGCTATTCAATTTTTTCTTTTTAATAAAAAATCAGAAAATAAGCAAATTACATTTTTAAATATTACTGAAGGTTGAATTATTTAACCTAAAAGCCTAGCATTTGTATTTGGATAGGGTAACGACCAACAAGACCCCATGATTTTTAGAGACTATGCTAGAGACGCGAGGCAAGGTTTTGTCATCAATACCCATCAGTGATTCCCTTGGTGCGATAAGCGAAGCATTATGAATGTATAAAAATGCTAATAGCTGTACTTCCCCATATTCAAATGTCCTCATTACAGCACTTCTCAGTTAGTATAAAGGGTTTCATGGAGAACTGTATGCTTGGTACGAGTGCTGACCACCTACCAAGTATAGTTTCTTCAAAAAGGCTCTTGTTCTTATGTCATTATCAATTACTTTTTCCATCATCTTTAATATCAATGGTAAAAGACTGAATTTTTTGATTGATTAAGATGTCATATTTTTTGACTACCGCTTAAGTATGGTTGCTATGGTGACCACTCACCAAATATGGTTTCTTCAATTGAACTCTCATTTTAATATGATTATCAACCAGGTTTCCCATCATCTTTGATAGAAATGATAACAGGCTCAATAATTTGAATGATTTAGATATTAAATTCCTTTTCCTCGTCTTGGGTATAAAAATCAATGACGCCAACCGCTTGGACTCAAAAATATAAATGAAAATCAACCGACTCCCGAAGCTTATTATGTACTACAAGATTATGTTCCAATATCATTGCAGGAATACCTAGAGTATCTCATATAGTTTCGGTGTCTTAAAGAGCTAAAACATAACAATTGCCCTCCTCATTCTAAGATCAGTACAAATAAACGCTGCCTTTCTTTAATCTTCCCAACTTGACGTTTATATTCTTGCATTTTCAGTTTTGCACTCAATGTGATGCCGGTGAATGATTACCCCGAAGAAGCTGTGCTCGTCATATAAACTGTAGCTGTCATCCGACCGTCTCAAGAATGCTGACGTCACTTCATTTTTACATTGTGAATTGACGCTTCATTTCACATTTACCATAAAACTAGAATTCACAATTATTTATCAAATTGTGTTAAATGATTTAATTCCCCAATTTTAATTGAGTTGTCCAAGAAATAAACCCAATTGAAACGAATTGAAGTTCAAAGTGCTTTATTATCCAGAGACCCTAAGGGTTTACAACATCAACACTTTGAAATTTATCAATAATATTTTAATTTAGGATAAAGACCTAAATGTTTAGAAAAGTAATTTTACATTCTTTAAGTATAAATGTTTTCTTAATATTTATTTTACAAAATTTTCATAAATATTTTATGGACATTTAAAAAACACTAAAAAAAAAACAAATTTATCTATAAACATTTTTTAAGTTTCTTGAATTTTAAATGTTCTGCAATAATTCTTAAAAACTAAGAGAAATAAAAAAAAAAAAAATTCAAATCGTTTCCAAATCATTTCCAAATCACTTTCGTAAGAAAAATTTATATTTAATCTTTAAAAAAATAAAGAGCAAAAAAAAATGGTCGATTTATTGCTAAAATATACAAAAAAAAACAAAATTTTGTTTCTTCAAATTTGGGCTACATACAAAATTTTTTCCCAAAAAAAAAATTTATACTTATATAATTAATATGAAATGGAAATAAGAAAAATTTTCCGAGCGTATGTGAGCGTGTGTCTGTTTTTAGACGAAAAGATTAATTTAAAAGAAAAAACAAAATTAATTGATTCGAATAAATTCAAATTGCAATAAATTTTTTATTTTTATTTTGTTTTTTTTTATTATAGAGATTTCAATAACAATAATAATCTTACCAGATCTTACTAAATATAGAGCATTAAAAAATCTCATAAAATATGGTGTTTTTTTTCTTTTTTGTTCTAAATTAGTAAATAAAGACGCACAATATGTAAAGAAAGAGAGAGAGACCTTGAATAAATCGAGATAAAGTGCGTGTATTGAATGAGATCATAAATTAATTATTTCTCTTTATATGCCCGAAGTTTATGATGTGACGTTGCTTTATTCAGTTCATTCATAATATTTTTTTATTTAGTCATTCATTCATTCATTCATTCATCTTTGTTTCGAAAAAAATAAATTTATAGTTTTAATAATGAAATTTTTAAATTTTAATTCTTTAATGATTTTTTTTTTAATTTCCCGGAAATTCCATAAAAAAATTAAATTCAAAAATTAATTAATATGTATAGCTATTTTGTTTTTAAAAATTCAATTAATTACATACAATTATGTACACAGCATGAAATACTATATTGTATTGTAATGGCGGAAAAAACAGTTATTGTTTTTGTAAAAAATGTAAAGCGTAAAAAAGAAAATTACAAAAGATTATTGAAACTGTGGTAAATTTCCTCTTTGTTTGTTTTCAATCATTAACACAAATTAAATCAGAAAATAATGTTAGTATTGAAATTGTGTCGCAAATTGAATATGATTGACATGTCAGGATAAGTCAAAGAAGTCATTGAACTGTCATCGTCTATTAAAATGTCAAAATTATTAGGGAAAGAAATCAAATTAAACGGTAACACTTTTGTTTGTTAAATTTTGTTGAGTAAAATATGAATTTAATAAAAATATATTTTCAGATAGGTTTTATTGAGTTATTTTAATGACATGCCCATAATTTTTGTCATCGAATATGTCAATGTCATCTGTCACACAAAGTTGTATTTCAAGTTGTATTGATGAAACAAAGCTTATTTTAGGTAAAATGAACCAAATATAATAGAAATCGCTATTGAGAATTAATTTTTTCTCACTTTTTCTGATTTTGCATAAACTTTAATTGTCATTGACTGTAGAATATTAGAATTATTTTATAAAACCAAATGTTTCGCGTGCAATTAAAAAGTTACCTAGTGAACTACAAAAAACTACTGAACTATAAGCAAAAAACATAACATAATATAAGTGGAACGGTTGTAAAGATTAGTTTTCCCGTTTTAGATGGCAAATTAATTGGGGAATAAGTCACATATGCATAATTACTTCTAAATTATGAATAAAACTTACAACAATTGCATAAACTGTTAGAAATGATTATCATTGGGGTCAGGTATTAAGGATTAAACTTCTTATGTTTCCTTTTGAGATTATAATATGAATTTATGTTTCAGTTTACTCTCAACTTGGGTACGTCTCCTATAATATTCAAGAATTACAATTAAAACATTAATAATATTATTATGGAAATACGGAAGTTATTGAAACTTTAAGAATGTTTCTTTTAAAGTTAATAAAATATTTTCAAATTATGTACAACTTAAGTTATAAGGCATAGAATTTTCTTCCAAAATCATGAAATTCTATTGTTTTTCATGTGGCGTTTATATTATGTTACGTATATAGCCTTGTATTCGCTATGGAAAATAATCCTCTTTATAACAAAGAACGAAACAAAAAAAAAAATTTTCTTTTTTTTTTCCCATTTTTATTAAAAGAAATTGTATTTTTTTTTCTCCAAATTTTGGTTATTATGGTAGAATTTCAAAGATTTTTTTTTTTTAATTTCATTACAGTTTCCAGGTTCCCTACATCAAATTACAGGAAAAAAAAAATACCTTCAATCCTAATTCTTTTACTTTTGTTCAATTTTATGTGAAAGTTGCGTTATTTTTTTTTATTATAATTTTTTTTTTTGTTTTGGTTCAGTATAAAAAGTATACCAATTATAATTATTTTATTTCCAAGATTATTATTTTTATTTTATACATACAGGTATTATATTATTGTGTTACAAGAAATTTTCGAAATGCCAGTGTTATAAATCAATTTGTTGTAAAAATTTGCTGAGGTAAACTGTAAACGGACAACAGAATACTACGACAATTAGTTTTAATCAGATGCTGTATTAAGAATGGAATAGTCATCGGCAGGGGTTCACAAAACATTCAAATTGCTTCCAGGACAATGTTATACACTTGCGCAAGATTTTTTTCACTGTCTCTAAATTCCAATATAAAGCCAGTGCTCAGCTTTCTCATTGCGCTCTGCCGACTCTTACGAATTCCAAAATAAATGCTTCAAGGGATACTGTGATTGGCGCCCGATCCAGAGTATTAAAAATCTAATCAAAGTGAATATGTGCTTTATTGATTTAATAGAACGACTGGAACTCGATCTAGGGTATAAAAAATCTAATTACAGTTCATAAGTGCATTATTTTATTGTATGGAATAACTGGCCCCCGATCTAGGGGATTTAAATTCTAATTGTAGTGCATATGTGCATTATTTTTTCAATGCAACAACAGGCACCCGATCTGGGGCATTCAAATCTAATCGCATAATATATATGATCTATCTAAAGCTGATTTCGTAAATTTATCGAAACATATTAAAATGTACGTAAGTATAAAGCTCATACATATACTATATTATAAAAATATTAATGGCTATAGCAATCTTATGGAAAATGTATGTGTATATTTGTATTAAAAATATATGAAAAAAAAAAATAAAGCCCTTTTATAAAATAAAGAAATAATTTTTTGATACTTTAGGGTTTTTTTTTTTTATATTCATTTTATAAATGTGTGTTGTATATATATATATATAATTATATATTTTTATAATAAAACGAACTTAAACTTACCTAAATCTAAAGCGTTGACGTTTTGTTGTGGTAGTAATGAAATAAATAAGAGTAATACTACCACTAAATATTGAAATGAATAAATAGTATAATAACAATAACAACATTTTATGAAGGACTTTTGAAACGATGTTTGTTGGAACAACGTCCTCATAGCAACCATTTTCTTTTAATGTTGACTGCGATTAATGGTCCACTTCTATGCAAACCATTTCTTATATTATAAATTTTTCTCTAATAATTACAAAAAAAAAAAAAAAAATTTTTTTTAATTTTGTTGTTCTTGTTTTTTTCTTCTGTTTTTGTTATATAATTCGTGAAATTTTCGTATTCATGTTAAACAATATCCTTCGTTATTTTTTTTTTTTTTTTTTGCTCTCTCTTATCCTTTTATATTATAATGATAGTAGTAATAATAATAATAATTATGATGATATTGATATTTGATATTGTTGATGAAAGTTGTTAATGTTGGATTTTGAATGATGTTATTACATAAGTCTTTAAAATGAGTATATTGACCACCATAAGCGTTTTTTCTCTTATTTCTTTTTTTGTTTCTAAAATTTTAATTTTTGCTGTCGTTGTTGTGGTTGTTGTTTTATACTCTTGTTACCTTTCTTTCTCTTTTTTAACAGCGTTAGTTAATGATGGTTTTTCATAAAGAAATGTTAAATTTGCTGTTGTTTGTTGTTGTTGTTCTTGATGTTGTTCTTGATGTCGCTGTTATGGTTGTTAGGTATAAAAAGAATTTTTGGTATGCTACCAATTTATTTTCATATTATTTTATTGAAGTTGTTAATTGTAGAGTACATAACGATGAAAATATTTTGTTTTCAAGTCCTATAAAAGAGAGAGAGAGAGAGAAAAATAAATAAAGAGTTATAATTATTGTGATTCTTTATTGTGAAATATAAGGAAAAAATGTATAAAGAAAAATAGTTTTTTAATTTTTTTAATATTAAATTTAATGTGAAGTTTTTATATATATTTTTTTTGAATACAAAAATCATGAATAAATAAATAAATAACATATACAATTATTATAATTGAATGTTAGGTAGTTGAGGAATGAAATAATTAAGGTAATAAAAATAATGTATATCATTAATGCGAGAGATATGAAAAGGGTTGACATTAGAGGTTTAATAATATTTAACAATTTACCATCATTAAAACTTACAATTTATTCTATTATAAAAGAGGATTTCTGGGTATTTTTTTGGAAATTAAGGTATTTAGTTTATATTTTGTGTAAAGATCAGATTATTAACCAAGTTTCACATCTAGCATTTAAAGGTGTCCGATCAAAAAATTATTGAGAAGATGGGGTCCCATTTTTCACACAATTGCAACAGAATCTAGTTAACAATTTTATAAACGCTCTTATACGGCGGGAGAATGAAGCTTTAGTTGCAAATTTTGTTTACCTACTTTTCACGAAATTGTATTTGATTCCATTTTTCACAAAATTGCAATAGAATCGAATTCATAATTTTATAAACGCTCTTATAAGGCGGAAGAATGAAGCTTCAGTTGAAAATTTTGTTTACCTACTTTTAAAAATGAAACATTTACGATAAGAATACTTAATCAGGATCAGATTACGATAAGAATACCGGTCAAGATCTAGATCATATTTTAGAACGTTCCGTTGTCAATTTAAATAATTCTTCAATCGCTTCATTTAGAAAATGCAAATGTAAATTTTTGCATATCTCAAACAAAATTAATGCAATTTAATATTTTCTTCTTTGCCAATATTATCTGAAATGAAATGATCATTGAAAATGAAGACATTAATATAAGAGTCTCATGTGTTTATGATATGATCATTGCAATTTTGTTTTTTTTTGTTGTTTTTTAATTCATTTAAGACGTGTATCGCCAATCATCTAGTGTGGTTGTATATTACATTGGTTGTTGTATTACAAAAAAGGCATTTTTTTTCTAAGATGCTTGCTCCATTAAATGTTAAGAGAACAAACAAATTTCATTCATTGATTCGTATTTTTTTCATTCATTAGATTGTTCTTACAAGTTTACATTGATTATATACAGCATGTTTCAAAAATCAAATCTTCGTGTAAGAATTAGGTACTATAAGATTCTCCTCTCTTGCTGGAATAACACGGTAAGTAGACATTGATTATTATGTCTATTTACTAAATTTCGAATAAATATTTGACTTTGATTAAGTTTCTGCATATTATAGGTTTTAATTAGTTAGTTGATTGCAAGAGTCCAAATTGACATATAAGACAAAAAAGACGATTTTCCAGCTGTTCCACCAATTCAGTAATGATTTTCTTAATTCAGATAACCTCTTTTAAAGAAATCTTCATAAATTAAACTAGTTTACATGGAAGCTTCACTTTAAACCGACCGAAATATTCAGTCTTCATATGTAGCCGGACATCGTATAAAAATTGTACAAGAATTTCTCTCTTCTTTGCATCTCTTAATATAGTTGAACACCGTGTACCTTGTATTTAAAAAAAATTCTCATTTTATAAAGTGAAATAAATGCACATACTAATAATAACGCTATCGATTTAAACAAAGTAATCATTAAGAAAACTAACATCTTAATAAATTTATTTTATTTTCCAAGTATATCGTGTATATTATGATTACTTTTTACATAGAATGCAAATTTTGTTGTGCAAAAGTTTATTGAACCATTTGGTGAATCAACATAATAAAATCAAGTTGATTACATGTGTACACATACACGAAATAGCTATTATAATATTTGTTTAAATACAAAATGATGACGACACTCCCAATAGCTCTAAAATACTTTTCAATAAATTACAACTTAATCATTATGACATTATGATGATATTGAGAAGCAAACAAATTTACGAAAAAAAATGGTTAAAATGCTCTAGGGCAAATTTCTTTGCTTTTTGCAGTTCAGTTTATCAACTCTTAGAGAGAGAGAGAGAGAGAGAGAGAGAGTAATAAAGAAAATCACCAGAACTTTTTGCAATAATTGCGTGTTTTTCATTTCATGCAGAGGTTTTCGATGGCTTCTACAACACAAAATTCCTATATGACTAGTGATCAGATTGTTTTTATGTCATAATTTTTAGTCTTAAATTATCAGAAATGGTTTTCATGTTTTCGTCATATTTTTCTCCTGCTCATATGTTGAATAAATGTGTACAAATGTGTGAATCCAATAAATATTTCTTAAATCGCTTAAGAGTTTTCGAAATGTTAAAAAATTCAGTTATAAATGATTTTAATGTGCTGGTAATTTTAAAAATCATAAAATATTAAAAGTGATTATTATAAAAAATTTTAACCACAGAAAAATAAATTTTTTTATTCATAGCATGCGTAAGAAATAATTTAATTTTAACAGCAAATTTGAAATAAAAAAAAACTTGGAAGTAGTTAAAATAGTAGTTGAAATTTAAACAGTTAAAATAATTTATGTGATATATGTGCGTGTATGTGTTTGTGGTCAAAAAGTTATACGGAATGTTTTAATTATTATTTTGAGGTCCAAATGAATTGAAATTGAGAAAATTTGGTATTAAATTTCAACAAAAAGAAAAAAAACAAAATTGAAAACCACAAATATTGCTAATAATGTCTGAAAAGCCACTATTTATGATGAGTGTTTGGAAGAGAGAGTTACAAAAATTTTGTTGAAAGTAGAAAAAAATACAAAAAAAATTATATTATTTAGGATTAACGTCATTTACTGGTAAGTGTTCAATATTTAAAATAAATAAAAATCTATTAAAAAACATGCAACCGTGGTGAAAGTAGTAGCAAAGTTATTGAATTTTAATTGTTCGGCAACTTGACTGAATTTCTGTGCACTGTTAAGGTAGAGAGCATTGTGGTTATTATAGAGATTGTATCGAGAGTATTCTCACCGTTGTCTACTCTACCATCAGTTAATAGAGTAATATTCTTTTGACTGTCGACCAGAGTAATATTAGGTACAACTAAATCAAGTCTCACAAAAGGCTATCAATTCACTGTAAACTTTGTTTAACGATTGTCTTTCTCCGAGCCGCCTATGTCTATCATAATGTTTAGAATTGGTTGGCTACTTGAAGAAGATTTCATTCTTCATTGATGTCTATGGAAGGATTCCGGTATGCGAATGCATTTTTTTTATCGGAATCAAGATTATCTCACCAACAATACCTTAGGTGAAGAATAAAAACCGTTCCCGATCCGTTATAAATTTGCTTATTTGCATGCTCCTAGGCCCACAAAGTTAAAAATTTTAACTTTCTCTTGTTCAACACTACAGTAACAATGAGAAGATTATGTTAAACACATTTTTATCTCAGCCTTGTACAAACCTGTGCGATATAGGTTTAATTGTTTTGGATATCTACGTCTGTGTATATAGGTAGGTTGGCTACAATAAATCGCGAATGGATAGGATAGCCAAAATCGTAAATATTCTCTCCTTCAAATGGATTTTAAATTTTGTTAAAAAAATTCTGTATTCATCATAAATTTTTATTCTCTAAACAAAAATAGAATATAAAAATGGACGTTATGTTATTCGGTTGATATTTTATATTATGGCAATTAACCACATTCATATATGATAATTTTATTCACTTTTTTTTTTAATAATGTGCCTAAATATCAAATTTTTGCAAATTTTATGTTAGTGTTTTGCAATTAACAATTAGAATATTTTATACTAGTTTACGATTGAAAGCACAAATATTAAAAACGAAACCACAGAACGCACATACTTACATCTACTTAAATATAAAAATTTTTTTTTTTTTTTGGTCAACTGAAATCATCAAAAAGGAACCAAATGTAAAAATATTTTTCTTTCATAAAATTCAACGCCATATAAACCATAAATTATATACACATACATTTGTACCCACATTTTTTTTTATTTACATATAGATTTTTATATGAAAATGTGTAACCATATCATTCCATAAACACTTAATTAAACAAAATTCTCATATTATAATTTCATCATAATATCTATATCCTAATTTTAGATTCAGTGACTGAATGACTCCAAAGAAGAAAAAAAAAATTAGAAGTGAAGCAGAAATCATGTTAAAAGTAAAAAGTTTGTTTTAATTCAAAAAAAAAGAAAAAAATATTCTTTTGAAGTATCATAATTATTATTTATACATATATATATGTAACTATATTATGGTTAAGTATCTGAATATATTGTATATAGAATATCTTTCCTTTACAGCAACCATTCAACCAACCAACCAATAATCGAATTAACTGGAAACTGTAAGAAGCATCAC